TAAATACATCTTAACATTTGTCCACGTGATGTCCAAATTTAAATCATGTAGCAGTTATAAGATGTTAAAATAAGTTCTTGCTCCTCACAGTTCCAAAATGCTCTTGTAAAACTCATCATAATACATTGTTTTGTCTCTGAGGATCCCATTCATCGTGGAAATTCCAAGATGGAAGTCATTAGGTTACTAATATTATATATCTTTAGTTAGATATATAACCTATAGTTAGAATACTAATTAATTAGTATTCTAACCCTGGCATGAAAAATTTGGTGAATCATTTCACAACTTTCCCAACACCAGATGTTACATTTTAAAATATTTGGCTAATTAATTTATAAGAATGGCACCTCCATATTACATTAATTTGTACTGCTTGCAGTGCTAGTGGATTTCCTAGAATCTCCAAATCTACCTCCTATGTATGTATGTATGTATGTATGTATCTATCTATCTTTCTCTCTCTCTCATATATCTCTGTCTATCTATTATCTATCTACCTATCATCTCCTTGCCTATTATCTATTTTAAGTATGTGAATTATCTATTCTGTGCAAACTCAAGTCAATTGTTACTTTCTAAAGAAATGCATTCTTGTGTTTGCATTGGTCTGATGTAATTTTGCCCATCATTCTTTTTGAACTCTCTGTGTTATGCTTTGTTCTAGACAGAGCTGACATCCAGCCAGCATGCATCAGAATGACCCTACTGTTTGGTATTGATTGATTTTTGTTCTGGCTGATTGGCGTTTGTACCATATAAGGTGCTACCTATCTTGAATTCCTCTTCTGGTTTTATTCATGTCTGTAAAAACAATCTTTAACTGCTTTTTATTTGAAGAGATTGATCCATTTGCATTTATTGTCATGCTGGTATTTTATTTAATCGTGTCATTTTTATGGAATTTATGAAACATTTTTATTAAGATTTTTTGCTCTTTTCTTGGTTCTCTATATTTTAGTTTTTGAAATATTTATTTTTATACCTCTAGAGATCCCACTATTTTCATCTCAGAGAATTATAACTCTCTGGATTACACTTTGGGGAATATTTGTATATTAAATATTCATGCAGTTTGCATATGTGATTTTAATTAATTCTTCCTAAAGATAATTATAAGAAGGCATTATATAAAGCATTTCATGGTAGAGAAAATAGGAATCTGTGCAAATGGTGAGCAAAAGATATTGTCTGAGTTCAGAGACCCTCATTGTGGGGTCGTCAGGTCAACCATGTCAGAATTCCATTAGGAGACTAAAAACAGGCAGATTTAAACAAATGTTGTAGGGAAAAAGTGGTACCTCATCATAGTTTTAATATGTAGTTATTTATGAAGAGGTTGAGTACTTTAGATTTGCACTAGATTTTTATATTTCTATGTCTGTGAAATGTCTAGTTATAACATCTCCCTTTTCTTTGGTATTGATATAGTTATTTTCACAATTGATTTGTTAGAGTTCTTAGTATATTAAGAGATTTAAACTTTTAGCCATCCTATCAGTTAATATTTTTTAAATTTTTGCACTTCTCTTTGGAATCAGTATATATTTGTACAAATTGTACTTAGCCAAACTTATCAACTTTTATTTTTTAATTAGTGATTGAAATTTTGTTAATATTAAATTTGGAAAATAAACATTTTATGATTTCTTCATACACTGGGGGATTTCATGGAACTCATGTGAATAATAATTTCCCTCTAAAATTTTATAAAAATTGTGTCTATGTCCTGGCAAGAAGAATTTGATATTCATCTTGATTTATGATACTATGAAATAGCAACAATAACAATAGCTATCATTTATTTATTGTAGAGTAGGTATTGGGCTAAAAGCTTTATATAGCATATTATTTATCTAAAGAAATAAGCCAATAAGTTATATATTATAAGGTCACCATTACACAGTTACAGGAATTTGAGGTCCAGGAAGATTAAAGTTTTAGTTAAAATTAATGAGGGAACTAGAATTTTAAAAGAATAAACTACTCAATTACTGAAACTATTCTTTGAACCACTATATTATACAACATAATTCTTATTGTTTTTTTAAGATTTTATTTTTTTCCACTTTCTCCCCAAAGCCCCCAGTACATAGTTGTATATTCTTCAACGTGGGTCCTTCTAGTTGTGGCATGTGGGACGCTGCCTCAGCATGGTTTGATGAGCAGTGCCATGTCTGAACCCAGGATTCGAACCAACAAAACACTGGGCCGCCTGCAGCGGAGTGCGCGAACTTAACCACTCTGCCACGGGGCCAGCCCCCAACATAATTCTTATTTTTAAATTAAATTTGATAATATACCTACATTCATTATGACTGTCTAAGGGGAGATAGTATTGCAACTTATTTCAAATTTATTTTGTACACATTTTTTTGTGTGTTAAGGAATTTCCATGGAACACACTGATCTAAGTGTCATTGTTACCAGTCACAAAGTGTGTGCCAATAGTCAATCCATTTAGCAAATGCTTATTGAAGACCAGGCACTAGATATACAGAGAAGGAGAAAAAGAAATTTAAAACAAATGGTTTAGGGGGTAAAAAATTAGTGCCAACTTGGCTTAGGGCACACATTTTCCAATTGTAGGAGATTTTGAATAACTTATAAACTAGGGATAAAGAGCATCCTGGGTTACAGGGAAATTCGTCTATGACGATACAGAGCAGGGTCTCCATGGCAGTCACTCCCGCAGCTCTGTGGTTCCCAGGTTTTGTCTCCGCTCTACACCCTGAAGACTGAATGCCTGGCCCCTTGGGCTGGGCGGAGCTGTGGGACAGTTCTGGCCAGAGGATTGTGAACACAGGCAAAATGTGTTTTCACCAAGCTATGGAATTCAATAACTGGTATAAGACCCTGAATATTTCTCCTCACCCTGCAGAGCTTGTGTCCCAGAGTGGTGAGGGACAGAGCCTCCTACAGGATGAACACGTAGAAAGAGTGAACAATGACTTTTGCTATGTTAATCAGCTGAGAGGTGGGAGTTGTTTGTTACCGTAGCAAACCTGCACCTGGTCTATCCTGATTGATAACACCTGGCAGCTTCTCGAATGTGGAATTATTGCTAGTTTCATTATCATGCTCCTCTCTTTTTGAAACTCATTTTGCTTGTAATCATGGGCCTTCTCCACAAGTTTGAGATTCCATGAGGGCATGGATCATAGCACAGTATTTTGCTACTGTGTTCCTAATCATATATTACATGATGCTTAACATATATAAGCATGAAATATACATTTGTGAATTAATGAATGATTGTATAATATAGTGTTGCACATCTTCTTTAAGGAATGAATTCACACAGCATACCATGAAATAACTCCTCAGATATCATTAGAAGGACAAAAATTTTGATATAAAACATATAAATAACATTTTATATAATTTTATAATTATGAATTACATATGCTTTTTATGTTACCAGACTTTCCAAGAATAAAACACAAGACGAGTTATTACTTTGGATATGGCACAGAAGAGGCAGCAAATATCCTCTGTGAGGAAGTGTTGCATTCCGCTGGTCCAGAGGCCCTGTTCTTACTGAAATACTATCTGGAACATCAAAACAATTGTCTAAATGCCCATATACACAACCACAACATTACATAGTATTTTTCATTATTTATTCCCACATCCCCATCATACCTTCCCTCCAATCAAACCTCAGTTTACCGAACTAAATATAAACAGCATCGTTCCTGATCCACATGTGAAAGGCTGACTGCTGCAGAGCTGTCCGCTGCACGGCGGTGGGATGTTTGGAATACTAAGCACGTCAGCGACAGCAGAGCAGCACTGAGGTCTTGGCTGTGCAGAGGCTTTTTCCCCTGATATTCTGGGAGACAGGTAGTGCATGTACCCAGCTGCAGGTGGGTAGAGTGAAGGCATAATGACATCAATTTGAAAGCTTTCATTACTGAGACAGCACCAAGACATTTTCAGGGTCATGTTATCTCTGCATTAAAAATCTATCCTCATTCTATTATTTGGGCCAAAGTATGGCAACTTGCCAAAATTTGGGCCTGTGGCATGGGCTTTGTGAAGAAACAGAAGAGCAGGATTGATCACCTAATGGAAACTCGGGCTCGACTCCACGATCCTGCTTGCCAGTTTGTCAATTACCTTTCATGTTGAGCCGCTTCTTGTGGAATAGGTAACACTGTGCCTCTTCAGAGAGGCAAAAAGAGAGACCATGCGCTCTAAAACTAGACTTGTATCAGGTACACATGTGTTGAGCAGCATGAGTTTGGCTACAGTGTACTCTTTTTCCTACAAAGCAAAATAAATTGCTCTAGATCTAGTTTAGAAAAGTTAACATTTCTTTTAGTGTTTTTGTTTTGTTTTGTTTTAATATCTGTAGCTAATATGCCTTATGGGAATTTATTTTTTTAATTATGTAAGAGGTTATTTCAAAAATAGTTTTTACAAGGATAAAATTATTCTGATTTTGACCAAGGAAAGTTTGGCTATTTTGATCATAAACTAAGAAACATCGTAGACATATTTTTTCAAGTAATGATTGGACCAGATACTCTTCATTTTCTCTGTACAGTTTTTATGTATGTTCAACCATAAAATATTTAAATTTAGTTGTATTTTACTAGAATAGTAAAAAAAAGTTAAAAAGACTAGTTACAAATTATTGTCCAATTTCTGGATGTTTGTGGTGATTCAAAATTTACCTAGAGTCTTTAGCAGAAGCTAAAGGAATCGTACGGAATGATCTGAGATATTCTAGAAAATATGAAAATCAAGCTTCTATTAAGGTAATATTTTTATTGGGAAAAGGCTCTACATTATTTATTCATTCCCCAAATATTTGCACATCCTTTCTGTACCTATCATTTTGCTGGCCTGGAAGGGAAGCAAAGATGATCGTATATGACCCTTGCTTATTATAAACTTAGGATACATAGGAAAATTATACTTTCTTAGTACCATAATATTTGGTGACAAAAATGTGTAGCATAAAAAACAGGATGTAAGAAATAGGAACACTGAAGCATCTATCTGACAGACCTGGAACAGGTCTGCTCAACTGTCTGCTGCTCAGATGCTAGAGAAAGTGTCCCTGGGCTTTCTGTATGTCCAATTGTGGCAGCCAAGATTGAATAAGGGAATAAATATAGCAGAAAAACATGGCAACACAGGGAAAAACATGAGAACTTTTGCAATTCAGAAATAACCTTGTAAACATGAAGAGCCTATTTTACTCAAAAAAGAATCTAAAATCTGAGTTGAAACAACAAAAAAAAAGAAATAGAGCTAAAAATAATTACTATGACTTATTTAATCACAAATGTACTGGTAATCATGCTATACTTTTTCAGGGTTAACTAATGGAATTCACGAAGAGAATCATCTTCATTCATTTAGCTTAACACGATCATATCATAATAAATGAGAGGCAACCCACAAGCTTTAAAACCTATTTCTCCACAGTGCTTAAACAGAGCCTCATCTCGCTGGGGAAGGATCATTGCATGGACCTATGTAAGTAAGATATCTAACTTGATTTTACAAACATCCACACATGAGCTTTAATTTATATTCTGTCTTCCTCTCTCTCTCCCGTTTCCAGCACGTACTCAAATTATATGGCTTAATTGCAACCACCTGAGAGACAGCCTTAGCTGGCATGCTGAAATGAGGCATGGAATCTACCACTGCGGGCTTTTAAATTTTCTATGATATTTTACAAATGTGAGGCAGATTGCTTCCTCAATAGCGTATTTACACTAATATATATTAAAATATGTTTTTTCATAATACACTAGTAATGTTTAACATTCTAAATGGATCTTGGGAAGCCATAATATCTCACTGTAGTGATTTATCTATTTTTTTACAAATTTTATTTCAATGCATTTTCTAAATGGTAGTACTGAGAACATTTGTTAAAATCCCAGACTTATTATAAGAACATGTGTAACCTTTTAGTACTAAGCTTATGCTTCCAAATCATTTACATGTTGTCCAGTATCCAGGAAAAGACCAATTACTATGTTTTATTGTTGAAATAAATTTATCTTACATCTTTGATAATGATTGTATTTTGAGAAGACAATTTGTATTTGCAATCTCAGCTCTTAAGAAAAACACATCACATAATCACATAATACAAATTTTAAGATAACACAAAGTGTATACAAGGAAGTGTTCAGAATCCTAAGAATCAAATGAGTATTTGGATGTAACAGTTAAGATTGTTTTAAAACTTGGGGCTAGCCCTGTGGCCAAGTGGTTAAGTTCACGCGCACCACTGCAGGCGGACCAGTGTTTCGTTGGTTCAAGTCCTGGGCGCGGACATCACACTGCTCATCAAACCAAGCTGAGGCAGCATCCCACGTGCCACAACTAGAAGGACCCACAATGAAGAATATACAACTATGTACGGGGGAGCTTTGGGGAGAAAAAGGAAAAAATTAAAAAAGATTGTTTTAAAACAAAAGCAATTATAACTTTCCAAGCCAGGTATATACTGTGCTGTCCTGTTTCTAAAATATATAGATTTTTATTTTTTAGATTATAAAGAGAAGGTAAAGCTTAGATTACTTGCTCAGATTTGTTTCTTTTCTTGGGTAGAATTTACAGTGCTTGAAAGGATCAATAGCCCTTGCAAGAAAAATCCTCTAATTATCCAGAGAACAGGAGCAGAAAGACACAATAAATAAGCTCCATTGGAGGCTCAACCTGGCTCTCCTACAAGGACCTCAGCCGGGGCTCCTCTTTGGCAAAATTATTCAGCAGCCATGTCCTGTGTTTGGTGCCCATGAACTTCCAGGTGAGTTGGGCTTTTGCCTGCCTCTGGCACTGCTTGCTCTCACATCACTCCACACAGACCCAACTCTCAGAAGGGAGACTCTCCCAAGCAGCACTTGACACTCCAGATATCATTTTCTTAGTCTGTACTCTGTTCCGCTGCCCAATTTCCTGCCTGTGCGACAATAGCTTGGAAAACTTCTGACAGAGTGCCTATCTACTGACTCATGAATGGTTGAAGTCATCTTTTCTTGAGGGGTTTGCCTTTGGCAGATAAATCCTACAGCTCTATAAAGCCCTAGGAGATAAATAACAAATTTTTTTCAGGAAGCTTCAAAAAGGAAATACTTGAAAGAAATTTTGTAAACCAAACTGGACCTCATCTGAATATTGGAGAGGGACAGTGCATGGGTGCCACTATGCTCCTTGCAGGGGAAGCCACATTTTCTTTTTTTTAACTGCCAGATAATGCCTTTATTAGATAGGATGTTCCTGTGACATCCTGTACTTCCTTTTATTTTAGTAATTTGATAGGTATGCAGACAGATTTAAAATCTGTTCTCTCATCAGGATTCATGTAGGTTTTGGAAACTAAATTACATTAAATAGAGTTAAACTACTTCTTTCACTGCAGGAATTTTTAGAGGATTCAAGAGAGTAAAGCACCGTGCAAAAGAAACATATCGTGAGGCAGTTTCCGAAAGTCCGTTTACTGTAACTCATTTGTGCCTGTGTATGCATGTGTGTGAGCATGTATGCCAGCTATTACTATCGCTCGGAAATAATTTTCTCTGAAACAGGAAACAGTGGGCCAAGATCTAGGTAGATATAGAGAGATTTTTGAAAATTATTTTCCATCTTCACGTTTACTTTTTATGATCTGTGCTGTCTTTCCTAACTTACTGATGATGAAGGTATTAGAAAACACACAGCTGCAAACAATATCCCTGCTACTAGCACCTCAGGAGGGTCCTGTTCTGAATGAGGATTTTCCAGTGAGCCTTGGGTGGAAATAAGTAGCACAGAAAACCAAGGGTTTACAAAAGAATCATACAGGAGTCTTGAGAACAAACATCTCTGAATTGGGGTGACATTCATGTTTGTAGACACAAATCTGCTGCCTTTCTCAATAATGGTGTCTCTGTTTATTACAGAACCTGGATTGTTATGGAAATGGATTTGGGGTAGGATGGGAAGGATGAGGTAATGTTGATATGGATTTGGTCGCATGAATGTTCACTTTTTTAGACTGAGGCTGCAACGGCAAAATTGACAATCAGTTTACTGATATGGGAGGTATAAACAAAAGAACTGCCTAAGATCCTGTGCACCAGACCCCCCTCTGTCTTCACTTCTCAATTTGGATCCCCAGGGAGATCATGATTAGAAAATCAAGCATTACTGTCTTGAGAGAAGATTGAATTGCAGGAAATGCAAAACAGTGTGAGAGATTTTATTTGGCATAGAGGACAGTTTTGCATTTCTCAAGTCATGGCACAGGAATATCACCAGTATGACTCAGCTACATTCTTTTAATCTCAGCTTGTCTTGTGCTGCGGAGTTATTATGTAAATTAAGAACAAGTATTACAATCCGTTGATGCAAAGGCATTCTATGGGAATAGGCTGAAAGGGCTAATGAACATCTTGAAATGTCGAGATGAGGATATCTTTGAACTTCAAAAAAATCAATTAAATTTGACTGTTATATTCGGTTGCAGACAGGAAAAACCTTTAGATACAGTAATCAAAAATAATATCTACTTAACATTTAAATATGTACTGAGTTTGATTGGAGACAATTGGATGTCCTCTAAAAAAAGTCACAAGTATTTATAGATTCTGTAGAGCTGAAAACCACCCAGACAAAGAACATTACAAATATGATGTGAATAGTGTGATGCCTCTCTTTTAAGAAAGAATAAAATTAAAGTAAAATATCACAATTTCAGCATATATGCATGCAGAATATGTTCATCCAAATAGAAAGTGCTGAAATTTACCTCTTATTGTCAACAAAATATTTTACTAATTGAAGGTAATTAGACAATTGCGAAATTTAAACTTAACCTATAACTTTAGAAACGTCTCTCTAACTGAAGAGCAAACATGCATTTTACTTCATGGCAACTATGTTCTAGGCACTTTAAAAGAAAAGCAATATACATTAATAATGTAAGATTTCGGTTCACAAGAGGTTCACAGTCAGTGAAGTGAATAATGCATATTTAATTAATTACAGTACTGTAAGTCCTGTATGTAGCATGCTTTGTTGTGTGGGTGATCAGAATTGGCCACCCCAAAATGTGTATCTTCAGCATGATAATTTTCTTTTCTTTTTGTTGGTGAAGAAGATTGGCCCTGAGCTAAGATCTGTTGCCAATCTTCCTCTTTTTGCTTGAGGAAGTCTGTGCCTGAGATAACATCCATGCCAATCTTCCTCCATTTTGTATGTGGGATACCACCACAACATGGCTTGATGAGCGGTATGCAGGTCAGTGCCCAGGATCTGAACCACTGAATCCCGGGCTGCTAAAGTGGAGTGCGTGAACTTAACCACTATGCAACCAGGCCAGTTCCTGGCTTGATAATTTTTAAGAACAAAAAAACTCAGAAAGAAACTTTGACTTTTCCCCTAACTGCCTAAAAGAATTTAAGATAGAAGGCCTGTCCCAGAAAGGAGCTATCAGCATAGATAACTCCAAGTACGGTAGTCTGAGAAGATCCTCGCCACGCCCATTTTTATCAAAGTTCTGTCTCGGAGATCACATTGTCTATAGATGGTCCAGCAAACATTTGTTTACCAAACATTTGCTTTTCCAACTGCATGTGAAATGCCTTCTACCCCTTTGAAGTCCCAAACCACTACCCCCAACATCCTCCTTTGTCCTTGGCTGAAAATGGTATCTAAGGTGGTGGCTTTCGCCATTTTGTCAAGTTACTCAGATTTCCTGGATTTCTCCCATGCATACATGTTATTAAACTTTGTTTGATTTTCTTCTGTTATTCTGTCTCGTATCAAATTAATTCTTAGATGAGCCAGAAATACCTAGAGGGTAGAGGAATACTTCTTCCTCCTCTATAGTTGGAAAAAAAGAAAATGAGTTCTACCACTTGTTAGTTTGGTAGCCTTCTGGTCTTTTGTTCTTTCATCACCACAATAGGAACATTTTACTTGTTTTAGGTTATTGTGAAGTTCAAATGAGAAAAAAATATGTATGTGTGTATATACACATAATACATAGCATATATATATCAAATATATATATATATATATATATATGACCTTGGACATCTAGCCTCCAGGACTATAAGAAATAAATTTCTGTTGTTTGAGTCACCCAGTCCATGTTATTTTGTTCTGGC